CAGTAAATGTGGTATGTGACATGTCCCATCATAAAATATTGGAAGAAATGGTCAAAGAGGATAACGGTTGTCTCCATGATCTAAGGAAGAACAACTTTGTTACCCGCTACCTTTCTATGGGACTAGCGTAGGTAACCACTTTTTGACTCAAGCCCAGAAAGTATCAATAAATACCTTAGTCTTATGGTTGACGGGGATGGAATTATTTCACGTGATCTAACTCTAAAATACCCTCAATAACCCCCAAATCACTACTATGAAAAACATATACAACAATAGTTGGAAAATAGATAACATCACGTGTGACCTTCCGTTGTTACATATGGTGTGGTTGTATATGTGCTACTTACAATCACGGTCCTATGACCATTGTAGAAAATCTCAAAGCGCACTATATATGATCACGGTTGCTATAACTAACCATTGTAATATACTAAAGGTCTCAGGTTCGATTCTCAGCAGCGCATCTTTTTTTAAAATAACTTTTCTGCATTTAAAAAATTTTCCATTTTTAACCTGTATTTTTTTGAACCATATCAGAATAGAAATAACAATTGTATCATAATAAAGAATTGTATTGTATTACATCAAATCCATACATTGGATTAAGAGCTAAACGTTGTATATATATTACATCAAAAGAAAAATGGCACAAAACAACCTACAAACATTGTATAACATCACATAATTGCATCCCATAGTGTTTTGGTTTCTTTGTCTCTTGGTGTCTTGTCTCTTGGTGTATTGACTTTAAACACTTACAATTTCAATTCATCATATTTTTTAGTAAATATACATAGAAATAATGACTTACATTAATTAAATTATGAATAAAAAACAAAATAATAATTACTTGTTAATTTTCCCATATGCCTTCATTATGATCGATACAAATAGCATGTACATCATCTCTATCAACTTTATCATAAGCGGTAGGAAATTTTGTTGTGTAAGAAGGAATAGAAAGAATATCAAACTACATCCTGAGCCATAGACTTAACATTTAAACCTTGAGTACCTCTACCTTCAGTGTCAGCATAACGAGACTTTGGAATTCCTATAGACTCTACTTCCAACAAGTAGTTTGTACAAAACTCAATAGCTTCTTCTGTGATGTACCTTTCAACAATCAAAGCTTTCGATCGGTGATGATTCTTTGTATATCCTTTAAAGATCTTCATGTATCGCTCTATTGGATACATCTACCTTAAATAATCTGGATCACAAATTCTGATTTCCATAACTAGATGAACGAGTAAGTGAACCATAATGTCAAAAAATGATGGAGGAAAATACATCTCCAATTGACACAAGATTATGGCAGCTCCATCTTCTAATTCATCTAATTTTTTAAAATCAAGAACTTTATTACATATGACATTGAAGAACAAACATAATCTCGTGATAATTACTCTCACATTTTTTGGTAGGATGCCATAGATAGCCACTGATAGAAGTTGTTGCATCAAGACATAACAATCATGAGATTTCAAACCAATTAACTTGAGATCTTTCATTGATACAAGTTTCTTGATGTTTGATGAGTAACCTTTGTGAACTTTGATACCATGCAAACACTCGCAAAAACTTTTCTTTTCCTTTTTAGATAGAGTGTAACAAGCTGGAGGCAGATAAGATCTTTTCCCTTTTCTATTGGAGCCAATTGTTTTCGTATACCCATCGCCTCTATATTGAGACAAGATTTATTACTATCTTTAGTCTTGCCTGGAATGTTTAGAAGTGTTCCAATCAAACTATCACACACATTTTTCTCCACATGCATCACATCAAGACAATGTCTTACATTGAGACTTGACCAATATGGAAAATAAAAAAACATTGACCTCTTTTTCTATATATTTTTCTCAACAACTTGCCCTTTTTCTTTTTCTCTCTTTCCAAGAAAAACATTAATGTGTTTCTGTCGTTGTTCGGGTTTTAGAGTGATATTAAACTCCTGCTCTCCATTAAAAGCCTTACGTAATCTACGATAAGAATGATCGGGTTTTAGAAATTTTTGATGCCCAAGGTAAACAGTCTTTTTCCCAAACTAAAGTTAGTGATAACATGTATCAGATTCAAAAATAGGACACGCTTTGTGTCCTTTGACACTATATCTAACCAAATTACCATATGTAGGAAAGTTGTTGATTATGCAAAATAACATTGCACGCATCTTGAACTTTTCACCAGAATATGCATCATCATCTTCAACGCCTTCCTCCCACAAAAGTCTTAGATCTTCAATTAATGGATTTAGATAAAAATCTATGTCGTTTCCAGGTTATCATGGTCAAGAAATCATCATACTTAACAACATATACTTATGCTCAACCCAAGCCCAAACCTAAGGTTTCTTGGTTCAGTACCAAAATCGGGAAACAACGAATCAATTTTCTTCCATTACAAAGAATCAACTACATGGCGTATGTTTCCATCATATTTTCTTTCATATGCATGCCATATAATATTCTTTGCACCATCCGCATTAGCAAAAAGTCTCTTGAATCTTGAAATTATTGGCAAGTACCATAACACTTGTAATGCGACACCCCACATTCAAGACATTGATCAAAATTTTCATATTTTTTCCTGTATAATATGCAGTCATTAGGGCATGCATGTATTTTGATATATTCCAAACCCATTAGACACAATATCTTCTTGGCATCATAACAACGATCAGGTAAATTGTTATCTTCGGATAGCATTTGTTTTAGCAAATGAAGCAATTTCGTGAAACTTTTATCCGACCACCCATTTTTTGCTTTCAGATTAAACAATTTTAAAACCGCAAACAATCGTGTAAAAATTATGCACCCGTTATATAAAGGGGTGTCCTTATCACTATATAAAGTATCATAAATATGACATTTCTTAAAAGAAGATTCTCCAATATCACGGAACATATTTTCTAGACGATCATCCATATATTCATCTTCAATAACTTTGTGACGCAGGGTTTTGATTTTTTCCACCTCACCATGTCACGTCCATATTGTATAATTTTGACATATACCATCACAACATAGGTGATGGAACATCTCATTCTTTGTACCTGTTTTTATATTCCCGCAATTAGCACAAGAACAATAAAAGATATCATTATTGTCAGGAAGATTTTGATCAGCGTATTCAAGGAATTCAAGAACTCTTTTCTCATATATCAGACCTAATATATCGGCTTTCATCCAACTACGATCCATAATAAATTCTGAAATTTATATCAAAACAATATTGTGAATGACACAACAAAATCTAAATCTAAAGCATGTCGAAAAACTAAAGCATATTCAGTACAATAATATAACTCTAAATCTTAAGCATAGGGATAAAGCATATGAACTTTGAAAGAAATGGACCACAAAATCCAACAACAAAATATAAAGCATATTCAGTACAATAATACAACTCTAAATCTTAAGCATATGGATAAAGCATATGAGTTTTGCAAGAAACAGACCACAAAATCAAACAAGAACGAAGATGGTGAAGATTATCAAGAATTAGGAAGATGAGGAAGATAATGAAGTTTGCACGAAACATATCGTACTTTGAAGAGACCAAGAATGAAGATAGTGAAGATTATCAAGAATGAAGATTCAAATGAACTAAGATTGTGAAGATGAAGATTTCACTATCACTATCGTTGTCGTCTCGGGCTCGCTGATTCACTAGTTCGCTTAGGGCATGTTATGAAGGAAATAATGAATCTATTTTGTTTTAAATTTATCAGAAAAAACTTTAATCACGGTTGATATTTACAACCGCAGTGAAATGTAGATATTATTACAACAGTTGTAGACTAAAACCATGGTTAAGTAGTGTTCAATTTTTTATTTATATTTGAACTTAAGTGGCACACGTTTTCTGTAATAGGAAAAATAGGAAAAATGTAGTTGTTAGGATTCGAAACTTGTAACTATTACTTTATCACCACGGTTGTTTATATCAACCGTGATTAAATAAATTTCAAAAAAATAAAAAATATACCAGACACATCCAGTTTACGATATTACAAAGGTGAAATGGATTACCGTAGTAGAATTAGTGTTACCGAATGCGTATTTTATAATAGTGAATGTCATAAACAACTCTCTAAATACAAGACTACTCTAGTTGTAATATTTTTATCTACTAAATCAATTGACATTTTTTTCTTCGCATCTTGAATAAATAATACTTATTAATTTGTTATAATTCAAATCTAAATCTATTCCATCGATTCGTTTTACTTTCCCAAACTTTTATTAAAGCTTTGTTTGAGAATTTAGAAGAAAAATATAAAAATTTCGGTTAGAAGAGCTTTAGAAGAGTTGTATTTACTCATAACATCAAAACCTCTAATAAAGTTGTATTTACTCATAACATCAAAACCTCTAATTTGTGATAATTCAAAATTTATATTAGAGAAGGATTTTGAAGAATTTAGACAAATTATTTAAATATAATTTTTATTGTTATAATATTTCAAAAAATAAAAATATATTTTCAATAAGTATTATTTTATCATTCTAAATAAATAAAAGTTCATAAAAGATTTAAATTTTTCAATATTTCTATAACAAAAAAATCTTTTTTTAAACCTGAATTCCCTTTCCCTCCAATGAAATCATCTCCTCTATTTCATGCTCACCAAATTCTCCCAAAAGAAATATGATGAAACACAAAGATATTTATTTACACAAGTCAATACAAACATTTTCTATTTTGTCTATCATAATGTTTGACCATTACACATCTTCACCTTGAAAATTCCACCTCATAAATTTCTTTCCTCCCCTCATATAAATACAGCCTCAAATCTTGTGCCACTTCATTTCCGTACCAGGTACACACATTTACTCCTCTTTACTCCCTTCTTCCTCCCTCTCTTTCATTTCCACCATCTCTTTCTTCACTGCAGATCTATGAACCTTCTCATACACCCACCCACACGCTAACAAAACCCATACACTAATTTCTCGAAAAAACACAAATTGTGTTCTTGAAAACAAAACATGCGATTCAAGTTAGGTAAGCGAGTGGTTCGCTTCACACGATGTTTCTTCCGGAGATTCCGGACCCAACCCGTTTACGTTCGACTCGGTTTCTCACCGGAGAAGAGTAACAACAAAATGAAGAAACTTCTGGCATGGGGTCGGAAGTTAACAACAAAAGCAAAGTCTCTATGTTCGAAGAAAAACTCCGGTTATTTACCGGTTGGGTCCGACCCGGTTCAGGAAAGCGGGTCAACCGTTCCGAAGGGCTATTTAGCGGTTTATGTCGGTCAGAAAGACGGCGAGTTTCGCCGAGTTTTGGTGCCGGTGGTTTATTTCAACCACCCTTTGTTCAGTGAGTTGTTGAAAGAAGCTGAGAAGGAGTATGGGTTTTATCACCAAGGTGGGATAACGATTCCGTGCCGGGTTAACGAATTTGAACGGGTTAAGACCCGGATAGAATCCGGGTCGGGTGTACGGAAGCTTTCTCGGAGGAGGCTTCGTTGAAAGCGGTGATGGTTGTCTTTTTGCTGAGGTGGTGGGTAAAAAGGTCTTTTTACATTTTTTATTTTAATTTAAATTAGGTTTTAGTTTTTTTTTTTAAATGGCGTGTTTGAAATTTATCAAATAGTTTTGGTCTTAGCTAGCTATTTGCATATTTGTGGAATACCGTGTGTAAATGATTTGACATTTATTGATAAAAAAATGATATGGATTTAGATTAATCATATTTAGATAAAAAATATATTGTTAAAAAATATTTTTAGCAAATATATTTATTATTATTATTATTAAAAACTAAGGTTATTCTAACAAATTTTTATTTTTAATTTTTTACTTTGTATTTGGATGATTGGAATGAGATTTGAATTGATTTTATTAAGAATTTTGTTTTTTATTTGTGATGAGGAAATGTGGAAGGTAGCTATATATAGAATACATTTAAGAATGCTAAAAAATAAAATTTACAAAATTTTAAATTTTTGTAAAAATCTTCAATCATTTTTTGAAATAAAATTTCAAATATTCTTTTTATACGAAATTTTTTAAACATTTCTATAATGTTTTCTCTAAATATTATTTTATTAATGGAAATAAAAATAGGAAATGAAAACAACCCTATTATTATAAAATAAATGAATATAAGTCATTATTTTGATTTCTAAATTTTTAAAGTAAAAATTTGAAAGGACGAATTTTCATTAATTGCATTGAATTGTGCACTATGGATTGATGATAGTTAGAATGAAATCAAACTGTTTATATTTCAAATTTGTTATTTTAAATATAATAAAAAACTTAAACCAACATAAAAAAACTTAAACCAACATGAAAATCTAAATTTGTTATTTTCATTAATTGCATCTATAAATGCATTAATTTTGTTATTTCAAATTGATGATCGTATAAATGCGTGAAAATCTAAATTTCTAAACTTTCTATCTTTATTTTAGTCTCTAAATGCGCCAAAAGAAAATCTTGTAGTAAAATATTTAATTTTCTAAAGTAGTAAAATATTTAATAAATGCGCCAAAAGAAAATCTTAGGTAGTAAAATATTTAATTTTCTAAAGTAGTAAAATATTTAAATTCAAAAAGTAATTATTAAAATACAAAAAACTTGTTAATTTAATATTTTCTATTAAGATTTAATGTCTAAATTAACAAATATTTTCTGCATTAAGTTATCAGATTTGATAGTCAAATTTCATATATTTTAAATGCTAAATTATTAATTTTTACATATTTTAAAATTATTTCTTATTTATATATTTTACAAATTAAATTTAAAAAATTCAGAAATCAAATCAACATTCTATTTTTTTTAAAAAAAAGAAAAAGATTCATCATACCTTCTCCGCAAGAGTTTTGTGGACAAGGTAAAGGTTATTGGAATAATGATAGTGCTACATTGTCATATTCAATGTGGACAAATATAATGCATATTAACTCAAAATATATGCCATACATAATAAAAAATAAGAAAACATTTATATGGCCAATTTTCTTTGATGATATAAAACGATAAGGATTTCACAAATCAATAATGTCGACATAAATTTGAAATACAAATTGTCTTAATTATACAAGAAAATGACTTAATTTAAAGTTTGATGGAAAGCTAAATACAATGTGTAAATGATTATTTCAACAAGGAATCAAACTAATTGAAAACTATTATTTTTTATTTTTTTCAAAATAAATATTGTTTGAGCTGAACAAATAATCTTATACTAATTTATATATTACAATCATACACTTCAATGAGACTTTTTTTTAAAAATAAAGTTGTGAGTGTTTTTACATAATATAGATAATACTTTGTATCTGTTATCTAATGAGACTCCTTTTTAAAAATAAAGTTGTTAGTGTTTTTCCATAATGTAGATAATATTTTGTATCTATTGTGGCACAAATTTAAAGTTGACCAAAAAATTTGCGTCATCTGTGAGAACTCACAAAGTTTGCACCTTACCTCTTAACCTTTGGCAATGTCTGTGAAAACTCAAAAATTGCACCGAACAACTTAGTCTTGACTGGTGATAACTGTTATGGATTGGTCAAAATTGTTTCATATTGCTTTAGAATCGAGATTAATAATAGTTTATATACTGCACTCCTACATCTTCACCCAACAAGAAGCCTTTTCTTAATGACAAAAATGTGACAGTTTTCACACCCAAAACGGACAATACATTTTAGTCGCAGTGACACGAACTTGAGGTCGATTGGAACATTGACGTCGTTAATGAGAACTCAAAGTTCGCATTGTGCCCCTTGCCTCTGATATAGTGTGTGAAAACTCAAAGCTCACACGTTCCTCTTAGCCTTTGGCGTTCGCATTTGTGTGTTTTTATCCTTGACTGGGCAAGATTGTTTTGCACTGGCCAAAGCCGTAAAGGTTTCCGCATTCAACGTCGTATGTGGAAACTCAAAGTTCGCATTCGTGTTTCTTAGCCTGCAAAACTATTTCATGCTAGCTAAAACCATAAAGGTTTCAACACTCAAAGCAGACAATATTCCGTAGGCGCAATGACACTAGTTTGTGACGTTCAAAACAAATATTAACATTTTTTTTTGAAATTATAAAAGTAATTTTTTAAGAAAAATTAATAAGGAAATTGTTTTGGGTTAACCAATTGCTCAATGGGTGAGAGGCCGATTCATTTCAAATCCATTATATTCAACCCAAAGTATAAAGTTAGTTCATGCAAGAAACAAGGTACACTTTATAATCTCCATTTTTCACTATACTCTTATTGATTATTGAAATGACTTGGGCGTTTGAGTGCTAACTATATAGGTCTACCCCACGTCGCTGTGATGAAGATCAGCACCACCAATTCAAGACATTCAACTCATCAACTGAATCCATTTTTGGTTCTTGAATGGAATAATGGTGTCGTTTATGGGAATTGGCTTATGATTCATCCGATTTCCACGAATTTAGATCTAAAATCCAATTTACCAGCTCGCAACCTCCTCAAGTCATCAAATCAAGAGCATTCAGGATCAGAAGCTGAAATCCATTGCATTTGATCGAGTCAGTTATTGTTTAAACTACAATCCATCATATTTTTAGATATATGATTTCCCAGGAAACTCCGCGAAGTAATAGTAGAAAGGATCATAGATCCAAATTCAGCTTTGCAATGAAATTACCAAAAAGTGAAGGCAATCTACTCGAACATAACGCTAAAGATTCATTGTCCATCTTCCGATCTAACATTGTCTATATCATTCGCCGCCGACGTGATACTTATCGAGGCGTCGTCAAAGATACGACAAGTTCATAGTTAATGAACGACGTATATCTGATATTGGAGTGCCTTCTATAGGTATCAAAGCATCTCTGACCGATGGACGGGGCCTCCTCAGACCATATCCTGTAGGTTATGATAAAACATGTCGACCCTACTACATATTTTCCTTATGGCTTGGTTCAGTTCTTACTAGAAGAACAAGTGACTCTAGTGTTGATCTTCTAGCAAACTTCCTCTTCTATACGACTTTGAGGATGTTTGTTGTACCCCCAAATTTGCCCTCACTATTTCTAATCCTAATTGGCTTTTACTTCTCATTCATATGCATCTTCATTAGGTCATGACCTCAATCATTCATTTGAATGAACTCTTAAAGCATTGGATCCAGGATCATATCTCAAGGGTTTTTCATCTTTCTACAAATGGTGGCTAATGTGGACACAGGATCATCAAGTTCCATTTCACCACAAACTCCAAAGAAGGGTCTTTGGTCAAGGTCAACTTGATATTGACCATATCATGATCTCATGGCTTAACACATGATCCAAGGGTTTCAAACACTTCATTGTGGTCTATTCTTATGATTATATTAGATGGAAAAGCTTGAGATATTGATAATTGAAGATTTTGATTCAACTGCCAAAAAGTCAACTAAGGCCCCAAAGTCAAAGTTTGGCTTTTGAGTTTTTGGTCAACTATGAGCACTTCAAGTTAAGAATAATGAAAGTAGGAGAATTGATCAAGTTTCACCAAGAGAAAACTTGAAAATCAAGAAAAGTGCAAATTTGAGAAGTTTAAAATATTTTCTAAGTATCAAGAATCATGCTCATTTAGTTAACTTTTCAAGGTTGTGGAGTTTGACTCAAGCATTCAAATTCAACAAACAAGGGATTCCATTAAAGATCTCACTTGATACTACATATTGATGAGAGATTTAAACTCAAAAGCTTCTTTTAATGGGGAGATATTTGTTTCTAAAGTTAAGGTTTCACTCTTGTACAAAATTCAAAAGACTTAGAAAATTTTCTAAGTGTTGGAGCATGTTCATGAGCATGAATTTTAAGGCAAATTTTGGCTGATCCAAACACTCAATTTGGACACTTGGGATATGCAAATGAAAAGGGTGTTTAGTACTACACCATGGTGCAAGATTTGAGCCAAGAATCATTATCTAAGTAGGAGATATTTGAAGGTAAAATGGAGGTTCCAACTTTGTGCAATATGGCAAATACCTAGTTTTTTTTCTAAGTTTCCAGCAGTTGTGGTGTCATGAATTCACATCATTGTACCTTAACATCCAAGCATCTTCTCAAATTTGTTCCAACATGAAAGTTGTACATGGCCAAGATACCTTTCCAAGAATATCAAGTTTTCTCCAATTGGTTCATTACACCTTAAGTTATGTCCTTTCAAAGTGGCTAGGATGATATTTTTGGATCATGGACATCAATTGCTACCAAGTTGTGCATGATGGTAGGAGTTCACAAAGCCAAAATTATAGGTCCATCTTGGGATTGAAGGTGTTCAAGGTCACTCAAAACTTCAATTACAATGATTCTTGATGTCCATTTTTTTCAAATTTCAAAATAAGCACAAGTTATGGCACAAGTTTTAGAGCATTTCAACACACCAGGTTCAATGGAACAGTTCTTTTAAATAAATCATCCTTTCAAATTAATTCCAAATTGTTTTGTCCTCCTCATGGCCTATTTTATACAGCATTAAGAGTTGGCCTAAATGATTT